TTTCTTTCTCAAGATTGCTTTGGCTATTCAGGGTCTTTTGTTTTTCCATACAAATTGTAAAATTTTTTGTTCTAGTTCTGTGAAAAATGCCATTGGTAGTTTGCTAGGGATCACACTGAATCTGTAGATTGCTTTGGGTATAATAGTCATTTTCACAATGTTGATTCTTCCAATCTAAGAACATGGTATATCTCTCCATCTCTTTGTATCATCTTTAATTTCTTTCATCAGTGTCTTATAGTTTTCTGCATACAGGTCTTTTGTCTCCCTAGGTAGGTTTATTCCTAGGTATTTTATTCTTTTTGTTGCCATGGTAAATGGGAGTATTTCCTTAATTTCTCCTTCAGATTTTTCATCATTAGTGTATAGGAATGCAAGAAATTTCTGTGCATTAAATTTGTATCCTGCTACTTTACCAAATTCATTGATTAGCTCTAGTAGTTTTCTGGTAGCCTTTTTAGGATTCTCTATGTATAGTATCATGTCATCTTGTTCTGCAACTTTTTATCTCTATATGAATGGAAAAGTGTTATACCCTTAAAGGTCAGAGCCTTGAGAATGGGCTATCCTGTATATTTCAGGCTGTAGGAAATCTTAACTCGAAACAAAAGCAATAGAATACAAAGGTGAAAGTAAAAGAAACAGATCCAATATGGAGTCAGATTTGTTCTTCCCTATGACAGTGCGAAGGTAAAGATTTAACACAAGCACACAGAACGCCTGAATTTAGAATTAATGGCAGTAATTCATGGGATGGGAGAGAAACTTCAAATAATTGAAATAAATATCCTCAGAGATATTTACAAACACATTGTACCTTCTTACTACTCAGGCATTGACAAATAAAAGCAAATGGCAATATTGCTTTTATTTATTAATTTGATGAATTATTAAAAAGATTCTCGGGCTTCCCTGGTGGCGCAGTGGTTGAGAGTCCGCCTGCCGATGCAGGGGACACGGGTTCGTGCCCCAGTTCGGGAAGTTCCCACACGCCGCGGAGCGGCTGGGCCCGTGAGCCACGGCCGCTGAGCCTGCACATCTGGAGCCTGTGCTCCGCAACGGGAGAGGCCACAACAGTGAGAGTCCCGTGTACTGCCAAAAAAAAAAAAAAAAAATTCTCACACCCAGTGTCGGCGAGGGTGTGGGGAAGAACCTATTATCTACGTTTATAGTGGAATATAAGTTGTTCAGCATTTTTGAAGGTGAATAGGAAGGATCTATGAAGTTTAATGTGCATATTCTTTGGCTTGCCGATTCTACTTCTGGGTCTTCATCCCTGAGAAATACACACACGCACACACACACACACACACACACACACACACACACACACACACACACACGCACACACACACACACACACACACACACACACACACACACACACACACACGGGCACAGAAGGACCTGGACAAAGATGTTCATCACACATTGTTTTTAGTAATTGTGAGCCCCTGTCGAGGGTTTAGCTAAACTCCCTGGTGGTCTTGCTGCCTGGACACCCATATTGTTTGGCCAGGAGGCCTGTAGAGGCCTTAAACTGACGCCAGCCCCTCCTAGAAAGCAGTCCACAGAGTCACAAACAAACCTAACTTCCCCATCTGACTTCCCTAATAGCTCTGTGGTCAAGAGACTCCCCTGCAGCCCTGGGCCTTCCCTTTACCAAAACCCCACTCATTCTGGTTCGGGCTCAGCCTGGGTGCCCCAAAGCACTCCATCCACAGACCCTAATAAAAGCTTGGGCCCCAAGGTCTGTGCTCTGCCTTGACCTCCCTGTGTGGCCCCTCGAGGCACCTGTGAGTGATAACTTCTCTATTTCAATTTCCCTTGTGGCCTTTTGTTGAACACTAACTCACTATCCAGCATCCTTAACAATTGTTAATTTAACAAAGTCACAGCACCCCCATGGGGCAGTAATAAGATAACCTGTGGTGCACCTCTTCCATTTGGTACCAGGGAGCAGTTCAAAAAGAATGGGGTTCACCTTAGATGTGAACATAGCTCCATCTCTAAACCTCGTGTTGGATTTAATGGTCGTTGCAGAATGGCATGGATAGTATAATCCCATATCTGTAAAGTAGAATCAACTCAGACTGTATATTTATTTGCTCATGCAAGCCTGTAGCTGCAGAAACCCAGGAATTGTCCGGAAAGCTACACATTCATCAAACAATGGGGGTACCTTTTGAGGGAAGGAGCTTGCTTAGTGTTGGGGGAAGGAGTGGAGAAGGGAACTTTATCTGTTTACTACTGTGGTGCTTGTTTTTAAGAAAGAATCTTTATGTACATGGGGACTTCCCTGGTGGTGCAGTGGTTGAGGATCCACCTGCCAATGCAGGGGACATAGGTTTGATCCCTGGTCCAGGAAGATCCCACATGCCACGGAGCAAGTAAGCCCATGCGCCACAACTACTGAGCCTGCGCTCTAGAGTCTGCGCTGTAGAGCCTGTGAGCCACAACTACAGAGCCAGCATGCTGCAACGACTGAAGCCCGCGCACCTAGAGCCCGTGCTCTGCAACAAGAGAAGCCACTGCAATGAGAAGCCAGTGCACTGCAACGAAGAGTAGCCCCCACTGGCCGCAACTAGAGAAAGCCCACACGCGGCAACGAAGACCCAATGCAGCCAAAAAAAAAAAAAAAAAAAAGAATCTTTATGTACATAATTCCATATGTCGCTGTGTAATGAAGATAATGTTTTAAATGTTATATTTTAAATGGTAAAGGAGGTGGGATGGGGAAAATGGGCATTTGCAGAGGACCCAGGAGCCTGTGCTCCGGGAGGCCAGTGCAGGAGGGGTGGGTGGTGACAGCCCCAGGGCAGGACACCCCGCCAAGGTGAGAGGCTTGTCTGAAAGTCCAAGAAGAAGGTATAAATTGAACAAAAGCACAGGAGAACCAGTGAGAACACAGTGCTCAGGAGATAGCCAGCAGAGAGGGGCTTTAGACAAACTTGAGACCAGGAAGTGTCATGGGGACTGGAGCCCTTGATGACCAGAAGAGGGGCTGGTGAAGAGCATGGTCAGTAGTGATGGGGTTCAGGGCAGGCCACCCCAAAATATGCCACTTTGGTATGATCATTTTGAATGAAAGTTACTTGGGAAACAGCTGGTACAAAGAAGAACACTCTGACTGGCCTTTGTCTCCCTGAAAGCAGGAAATTAATCTCCCGTGTGAAGGTACCCTCCCCGGAGCAGGAGGATAGGAAGCATGCTTATTGCTAGAGACAGGGAGTTCAAGGCTGAGAAAGCTGTAGAAACAGACTTTGTTACTTCGTCATTATTTGCAACCTCAAGCCCAAACCCCTTTGTTTTGTCAAACCTTCACAACTAATTGTTTCTTTGTTTAAAAGGTATAAAAGCTGCCTGCTTTGGTCACGTCTTTGAACCTCATGTCTTTGGAGTTCCCATACATATGAAATCAAATTTGATTGTTTTCTCTTGTTGATCTGGCTTCTGCCAATTTAATTATTAGATCAGCCAAAAAGAACCTATAGGCCCTGCCCCAGGCCCTGGGGAATCTTTCCAAGTACCTTGAAGAGCCTCTGATTTGAGCCTGGCCTTGTCCGGAGTCCTTAGGTGCGTCCTGTGCTGTCCAGGTATCCTGAGTGAGAGGAGGTGACGGCGGGGGCATGGGGGGCATGAGGTCCACAATCTGGGACCAGAGGGGACAGTGCCCCTCAGCAGATGGCAGCCTGAGAGAGAGAGAGAGGGAAGAGTGAGGAGTGAAAGCCTGAGCTGGTGTTAAGCTAACCATGCCAGAGTGACAGTCCCTTATTCTGCCTGTGCCAGGCTTGTCTTGGCGGTTTCACAGACAAGGAACTCACGTGTTTGTTGGAGTCAAAGTCACGGGCAGTTTTGGTTTTCTAAATGACTGCTCAGGGTTCCCCATGCAAATGGTTTAAACCCTTGCAATGGTCAAGATGGAAAAATTAAAAAAAAAACCAAATAAAATTCTCTAATTAAAGAAAAAACCCCTTCAAGTACTTGTATGTTCCTCTGTCATAGAATATTGGGAAACTTTGATAAATATGCGATTTGAATCAATTGTGTTAGAGCTTCAGGTCTGTCCCAATTTGTGTCGAACTTCAAAACTGCTTTCAAATACTCAGTTTCCTTAAGGAAATCTTTTTCAGTTTCTAGAATCCTTGCTGCGTTGCCCAGGTATTATCTCCTTCCACCTGGTTGACAGCAAGAGTCACCCAACTGAACTCCCTCCCGGCAGTGTGGGCTGTACCTCCTGTACCTGGTCTCTGGAGGTCACAGAATTAATGTGAGCTTTAGAAGGAACATGGAGGAGTGGAAAGAGCCCTGACTCAGTCTGATCGTGTGTGTGTGTGTGTGTGTGTGTGTGTTTATGGGTGGAGAGGTATTGAGAAGATCTGGTCCTGAGCACACTCCTCTGTGGGGGACCAGAGCAGAGGGCCCCAGGCAGGAAGACTCCAGAAAAAAAACATCTAAGGGAAGGCCACTGGAAGTCTAGCCAGAGCTGTGGACCTCACGGACTTGATGGGAGGGAAAGTGTAATATTCCTATTTTACAGATAGGGAAATTGAGTCCCCTCTGTCCCTGCAGCCTTACTAAGAGGGAGGAGCGGCAGGTGGAGCTGCCTTCCCTCAGCCCTCCTGGGGCTGCTGTGGTCTCAGCTTCTCCCAGATTCCTCTCGTGTCCTGAATCTTGGGGCTGGAGGAAGAAGTCACAGGTACTCCCTAGGTCAACAGAGTGGGTATGGGGGCCATCCTGGGATGTTTCCTCTAACAGGGCCGCAGACTATGCCACTCCTGGCAGTGACCCTGAGTAGTGCCCCATTTCCCAGGCACCTCCCAGAGCCCAGTTCCCACAGAGCCACCTGCCCCCAGCTCCTCCTGGGGGAGCTGCACCTGTGAAGAGGAGATGGACCTCAGGATTGGGGACAGAGACTGATTTGGGGCATTCTCTCTCTGCAGCTTCCATTCGCAGAGATCACAGTGAGCTTCCAAAAAAGGCCCAGATATTCAGCACCCATGGGGGCTCTGAGACCTCGGCTCTGCATGAAGGATGCTCACCCCATTGACACCGGTGGGGAGACCACAGCTCAGAGAAATGGTGACTCCACCTTCCAAGCGCTCACTGTCTGTGGCGAAGGGAGGACCCCTTGTCACACAGCAAAGAGCAAGTCGGAAGGCTGGAGGGCCACAGGGAGTAGGGTGTGGGGAGGTGATCTTGGCACCCTGCTGGGAGGGGGGAAGGGAGGGATCGGTGGGAAGCTGCGGCGCTGTTCACACACACACACACACACACACACACACACACACACACACACACACACACACGATGGCTGTCGTAGCGCGCTTTGGCCAGCAGGGGGCAGGGCAGCCCGTCCATCACGCCAAGCGCACCCCAGGCTCCCTGGCGCTCCCCTGCTCTCCTGCAGACCAGCCCTGGCTGAGCTCCCTGTCCGGTCCGGGGAGGTACCGGCATCTGAAGGAGCTCTAAACTCGGAGGCCTGGGCCCTGGTGATGCCACTAATTCACTGGAAAACCTTAAGAAAATCAACAAGACTCCCCGTGCCTCAGTTTCCTCACCGTGAAAGGGGGTAGTGACAACTGCTTCACAAGGATTTTGTGGAAATCAGATTAGACCAGTGGTGAAATCGACAGCTAGTGGAAAGCAGCCGCAGAGCACAGGGAGATCAGCTCGGTGCTTTGTGACCACCTAGAGGGGTGGGATAGGGAGGGTGGGAGGGAGATGCAAGAGGGAAGAGATATGGGAACATATGTATATGTATAACTGATTCACTTTGTTATAAAGCAGAAACTAACACACCATTGTAAAGCAATTATACTCCAATAAAGATGTTTAAAAAAACAAAACAGAACAAAAAGAAAACAAAAACCAAAAACACTGATGCCTGGTCCCACCCCACTGGGATCATTTCATTGGTCTGGGTCTGGCGTGGGTGTTGGCATCTTCTCACACCACCCAGGTGATTCTAAGGTGAAGGTAAGTTTGGGAATTCCAGAGTTAGATACTCAGGTGACCAGGCTTTGGAAATTCTAAGTTGAAAGTTTGTTTTTAACTCTTTCTCCTAAGGTCCCTTTTTTTACTACCTTGTGTTCATAAAATTCAAATTCCGTCTTCTCTCTCTTTTTATCTTCCTAGCTCCTGCATAACCTCTCGAAATGGAAAATGTAGATTTTCCTAACAATCTGAACTCAAATTACTCAACTAGGCACTCCTACCACCTATGATGTAAATAAACCTGTGATGTAAAGACACATGAAATCATTAGTTAGCCTGAGCTGAGGGCTTGTTTCCTAGGCTCCTGGGTGGTGTGGGCAGTGCAGGGCCAGATAGTTGTGAAATACCAGTTCTCTTCCCAGAAAGGTGAGTATATGAACAAAAACCGGGGTAAAGAAGTGGTTCCAGGTCATTGTTCCAGGTTAGTCACCAGCTCCAGGCCCCAGGAAATGGCTCAGAACTCTCCATATTTTATCTGGGACAACTGTGCTGCTGAGGAAGATGACAGACTCCAGTGGGAAGGAGAGACTTCAAGGAATGAAAAGGGACCTGGGCCAGGAAGAGGGTCTGATGGAGGAGAAGGCATGGAACAGGGAGTGAATGAACTTCACATCCTGAATTCCCCCCTCTTTCCCCTGCTCAAAAATAAACAAATGAGGGGCTTCCCTGGTGGCGCAGTGGTTGGGAGTCCGCCTGCCGATGCAGGGGACACGGGTTCGTGCCCCAGTCCGGGAAGATCCCACATGCAGCAGAGTGGCTGGGCCCGTGAGCCATGGCCGCTGAGCCTGCGCGTCCGGAGCCTGTGCTCCACAACGGGAAGAGGCCACAACAGTGAGAGGGCCACGTACTGCAAAAAACAAAAACAAAAACAAAAACAAATGAGACCTAATGAAACTTAAAAGCTTTTGCAAAGCAAAGATAACTACAAACAAGACAAAAAGACAACCCTCAGAATGGGAGAAAATATTTGCAAATGAAACAACAGACAAAGGATTATCTCCAAAATATACAAACAGCCCACGGAGCTCAATATCAAAAAAACAAACAGTCCAGTTAAAAAATGGGCAGAAGACCTAAATAGACATTTCACCAAGGAAGACATACAGATGGCCAAAAGGCACATGAAAAGATGCTCAACATCACTAATTATTAGAGAAATGCAAATCAAAACTACAATGAGGTATCACCTCACACTGGTCAGAATGGCCATCATCAAAAAATCTACAAACAATAAAGGCTGGAAAGGGTGTGGTGAAGAGGGAACCCTCCTGCACTGATGGTGGGAATGTAAAATGATACAGCCACTATGGAGAACAGTATGGAGGTTCCTTAAAAAACTAAAAATAGAACTACCATATGACCCAGCAATCCCACTTCTGGGCATATACCCTGAGAAAACCATAATTCAAAAAGACACATGTACCACAATGTTCACTGCAGCACTATTTACAATAGCCAGGACATGGAACCAACCTAAATGTCCATTGACAGATGAATGGAGAAAGAAGATGTGGCACATATATACAATGGAATATTACTCAGCCATAAAAAGAAACGAAATTGGGTCATTTGTAGAGACGTGGATGAATCTAGAGACTGTCATACAGAGTGAAGTAAGTCAGAAAGAGAAAAACAAATATCGTATATTAACGCATATACGTGGAACCTAGAAAGATGGTACAGATGAACCGGTTTGCAGGGCAGAAACTGAGACACAGATGTAGAGAACAAAAGTATGGACATCAAGGGGGGAAAGCAGTGGGGGGTGGGGGTGGGGGTGTGATGAATTGGGAGATTGGGATTGACATGTATACACTAATATGTATAAAGTGGATAACTAATAAGAACCTGCTGTATAGAAAAATAAATAAAGTCATGAGCAGTCAAAAAAAAAAAAAGGCACTAATCCCATTCCTGAGGGCAGAGCCCTCATGACCTAATCATCTCCCAAAGACCCCCACCTCCTAATACCATCACCTTGGAGGTTAGGATTTCAAAGTATGGATTTGGGGGGGACACAAATATTCAGGTTAATAATAGCAGCGATAGTTGTAGGTAGTGGTAGCCTGACCTTGGTAGTGGTAGGTAGTTTGACCCAGCATTACTGTCTAGCCCATTATTTGGTATTCCATGGAGGAAGGTATCCCAGGCCTGTGTGGATATACTGTAGTCTCTCAGTAAAGTT